TGTGTGTGTGTGTGTGTGTGTGTGTGTTTCAAGCCTGAATAAGGCAGGGGCTTGTCAGTGTCCCTGAAATCCATCTTCTTTTCTTGGCTGCATGGTCAGGGTACTGTCTTGGAAAACCAAAAACCAAACAAAACCAAGGAGAAATTTAAAGCTTTCATTATGGTGGTACATTTGCTCCTAAAGCCTGTACCACTATTTACATTTTACGTTGCTTTTCATAAGACAAAGTGTTATGTGGTTTTAGCAGTTCGTGTCCCCATCAGCACTATTTAAGATTTGCATCCTTGGTGTGTGATACTGCATGTTTCCTATGTCCTGGATAGGCAGAATATAAACTTCACGGTGATTGTGATTTCTTTTTTTCCCAGTTCTCTCCCACTCTTTCTTTTCTCCCCAGTCCCAGCCCCCTGTGTAGCCCTGGCTGACCTGGAACTCAATGTGCAGACCAGGTTGGCCTCCCACTCACAGAGTGGCCTGCCTCTGCGTCCTAAGTTTCCGAATTCAAGGTGTACATACACCACCATGTCTAGCTTTCCCAGTTCTTAATGTGACTCATCCCTGAGTGTTTGCTGACCGTGTTTCAGTTGGTACAAACTGTCCATCGGTATCTTCTGTCTGCTTGTCTTTGGTGGTGCTTATCCACGTTTCAGCAGAAGAAGGACGGTTCTGTGGAGCAGATATTTTCCTCAGTACCTGTCCTACCTTTTCACTTCTCCTTAAAAACCTTTTTTTTTCTTTAACCCACAGTAATACTTAAATTTCTTTACTTTGATATTTCATGGCTCCCTTTCTTCACACCCCTTGCTTACCTGTGTTTATTATGTTCATGGAGATTTCTTCCAGTTTACTAATTCTAGCTACATATTTAACCTATTCATGATTTTTAATTTACCAATTTGTTTTCCATTTCTAAACAATTTAGAATAAAAATTAGATTTTTATTTCCAAATTTAGTTGGTCGTTTTTGTTATTAATTCCTTGCGACTTACTGTGGGGGGGTAATTTTGTTTTGTTCCTCTCTTGAAACATTTACTATCTAGCCATTCATGTTCTGTGCTTTATTTTTCAAATATATAAAATCCACAGACAGCCTAAATATAATTTTTGTCATTTTCTATCGCTTATATTCATGGTGGAGGGTGTCAAGGAAGACAAGCAGGAACTACGTTAGATATTTTAAGCAGCCAGAATTACTGTTTATTACTTTTTATCACACTTATTACTGTGGCTAGGATGTAAGAAAACCAAAGTCCACACTCTCACTGATTCCACAAGAGCCTGGCAACTTTCCATCCCTTTGAAACTGCTCAGGTAGCCGCAGGTGCTCCTGGGATGTTCCCACCCCACCTTACTGACCTACCAGAACCACTGCAGCACCAGAGAACAGTGAGCTGCAGCTTCCTGCCCTCGGCAAACCAAACTGAAAGAAAGAAGTGTCTTTCTTTATTCACTCCTCTAATCTATTTCCTTCCTTTGATAGAACCTGAAAAAAAAAAGGCTAATGTAATTTACAGGCTAGAGCTTCAATACAGAGGCCGAAGGTGTGAAAACATTGTTGAATGATAACAAATCCCCAGCCAGCAGAGTCCCTTGCTTAGTTGATTGAGTTACATTGTGTTGATTGAATCACAGAACTCTAAGTTAGGTTTTCCTAAAAGTGTTTGGATGCTTTCCTTCAAAGATGGTCTTTTGTGACAGGCAATTCTGATGCAATCATTCTTTGCAGGGTGATGGTTCATGAGTGCATACAAGGGAACCATTTAGTAAAGCGTGCCTAGCTTTGAGTTTTCTGCATGTTTTTATATGATCTCTCTGTGTGTGAACGTGTGGGTGTGTGTGCGCGCCCGTGCGTGTACATGCATGTGTATGTCCACGTGTGTGTTTCTGTTAATCTTTCTTGGCATTAGGAAACCAGTGTTGGTTTTTTTATTTTTTTAGCTTCATTATCTTATTTTCTTTCTTCTCATGATCTTCCTTATTCTCCTACAGATCTAACTTTGTAGCCAGTAATTTTGAACTGGTAGTTTTCATTGTTTTAAGTTCTCAGCTCTTAATTTAAAACAGCAGATGACTAGATGATATAATTGTTCTCTATCAATAAGCAAGGTTCATTTTACACGTGGAATCATACCTGAATTCTCTCCTATAACAACACGGAAAAGACTCTTCTCTTCCAGTCACAAACACGTGTAACTTTGGAACCTCATCAGAAATGCCGTAAAGTTCTACGGTCGGCTTCCTCTGCCCACTTTGTCGTCTGGATTGAATTCAACCCTGTGCTCTCCCTCAGTGTTTAATTCAGCGGGGGCAGAATGAGGTGTAGACCTACATATCCACATATTGCCCATAGCCTTCAAAGACAACTGAGACTTCACCAGAGCGTTACAGTGCATGGAATGGTCAGCCTAGGGATTCAGCATGGGTGACAGGCCTTCACTTCGCGTCTGTGTCCAGGAAGGGTTTGAAACAGAGAAAACTATGAAAATCCTTTCACTGGATCGATGATCACTCCATCTGTTCATGACATATGGGCAGCACTCCTCAGGGAAATTTCACTAATTCAGAGTCACTTGTGAAGATCCTATGTAGTCCAATTAATAAAAACCCAGAGACAGAAATTCAACCTGAAGATCAAAACTGGCTCTTACCTCTTAGTCTGAGATGGCAATCCTGCCTCCAAGAATCTCAGATTCTGAGAGCTGTCTCCTCCCGTTTTATATGCCTCTCCAGGGCTGGGAATAAAGGTGTGTGCCACTGGGATTAAAGGCATACACCACCTGGTTTCTAGGGCAAATTAGTGCTACTGGGATTAAAGGTGTGTGTCACCACTGCCTGGTCTGGAAGGCTGACCAGTGGGGCTATTGTAAACTCTGATCTTCAGGCAAGCTTTATTTACTAAATTACAAATGAAATGTCACTACATTCCTACATTTTGCAAGTTCACTCACAGAGTAGCTCTCACTTAGAAATATTCTTAATTTTATGAAATCACTGGGTCCAAAATTTTCCAGTTCTTTATATGACAATATTGACTCTAAAAGAAAGTAAGGAGGCTGTTAGTGATTTGGCCTGAAAGAGGACCTCACTCTTTCTAGGACCATGTCAAACTCCTAATAACTTGCAGAGTTAGGTACACAAAAATGCATGTGAATTTTCAATAACAGCCACACTTGGAAATACCTTACACATAACTTCACAGGAAGGCAGCCAAAAGGACTGCATGACAGTGATGTGGTTAACTTCCTGCCTGGAAACTGGGGTCAAATGGAAGTGTACATCATCCAAAACAGGATCTCCAGCATCATTCCTAAGGGATGCCGAATGCAGCATCATTTCTGAGGGATACTAAAGAGCAGAACTGTGCAAATCAGAAAAATGTCTTTTGACAAGGACAGGCCTGCAAGAACACAGATACTCCCTGTTCTGGGTGAACATATCCAGGGCCTGTTGGTGTACGGCAAGTGGTGGGCTGGATTTTGGTGCCCTCCCCACCCCCACCCTCTTTCACAGACTACAATGCTTTGGTGGGAGGAACACTTTGACGAGCAGTGTGGGATGGTATTGATCACTAGCCAGCCTCTAAGGGACAACGTTTGAGGTGATGTTATTAAGAGGCTGCCAAAGGCTGCCCTGGAGGTACCCTGCGTCTCTACCATGCTTCATGGTAGTGGAGGAACTCTGGTGTTCATTCTGGAGACAGCACCTCCATTTCTAGAATGGTTCTGGTGAACTGTAGGACCAACTGAAGAATGTAAACCTTGGGGGGGCTTCGTATTTAAGTAGCTGAGATTTCTTTTCTGCTTCTGTTGAACGGACTGTGCCACAGGGTTAAAAGGGACAACCCAGATCTAGAGCTTGGAAACCATAAAGGGCGTGCAATCAGGGAGTGCACATTTTCAAGGCCCAAGGAGCTGGGCACTCCATTGGCTAAAAGGAAAGAAAGTGAGAGATATCTGAGGCTCCATTCTTCCTTGGGTATTGTGACAGCTAATCTTAGCAGCCTGCCACACCTGGAAAGGAGGAACAACGGAAGAATTGTTTCTATCAGATTGGCCAGTAGGCACGTCTGTGGGGCATTTTCTTACTGCTATTAGATGTAGGAGCCCTCCTTGGGAAGTACCATCCCTGAGCAGGTAGGCTTGGGCTCACAAAGGTAGGTTGCCAAGTGAGTCAGCTTGTAACCTTTAAGCAGAAATAAACCGTTTCCTCCCCGCATTGGTTTTGGTCAGTGTTTCATCACAGCAACAGGGACCAAAAACATAGGGCTGCTACTGCAGTTCCGGGGCTATGAGTGGTCAAAGTCAAGCTTCTCCTGCTAAGGGGTGCCCTTGCAAACTACAGGCAGCATCTCTCTTTGCCTTCTGAGGGCAAGGCATCAGAGGGTTAGAAATGAATGTTAGCACAAGACCGAATCCTGGTTCTCTCTCTTACACCCTACTGTTTGTGAAACTCTGAAGAAAAGAAAGGCCCAGTTTATCTCAACAGTAAAACTGGGACAATAACAGTTTTCATTTCAATGTTTAATGAGGTAACAACTCCTTGTTGTCTGGGTCGAGTGTCCTTGGGATAATCTTTTAGAAGCACTCACAGAAGGCAGGAGCTGGACTGCCTGGCAGTCCCTGCCGGCTGGGTTCAGGAGTGCTAGCCTACAGAGTGAGTCTTGACTGTTGAAATCACCAGAGCCAGGTCTCCCACAAGGCAGGCTTTTTCTGATGGCCCGTTCCTCCCTAGGACTGGTAAGAAGGCGGGGACACACTGGGCACACGCAATACTATGAGGACTGGGGCTAAAAGGCCTCTTCTGGATAGTCTACAAATCGAGGCCCGAACACAAACCATCGTTAGCCCAGGGGTAAAGAAGTGCAGTTATTCAATTTTCATGGGTCAGGCTGGTATTTTGCCTATTTCCAGCACAGGAACATTGGTGCTCAGAATACAAAATCCGGGTCAGAAGGGAGGAGCCAGGCAGGGAGAGCAGAGGACCCAAGATAACCAGCAGCCCTCCCACCTCGTTCCCTGTCCGTCAGTGAATCTCCAACACCGGCACATCCGTCGTCCTGATAACACCCCTAAAGGACCTCCGCAGCCTGGAGGCCGGGCTCCCCGTGCCCATCAAGGGCTGGGGTGGAGGGAGGTGTGCTGCCTTCACCTTGAAGCGTTCCGTCCTCCAAGTCCAGAGTGGCAGGCGAGGGAAAGGAGGCCAGGGCCGGGGAAGAGGCAAAGTTTCCCTTGCCGGCGCGGAGAGAGGCAAGGCGAGGGGCGCGGCTGCGGGAGGCCGGTCGCCGGGCGGCGTGGCGCGCTGGCGTGGGCGTGCTCCTCCGTGCACCCTGGCGGCGCGGGCGCGGGCGCGGGCGCGGCCGGCGAGCCTGCAGAGGGAGCTGTGCGCCCGCTCAGGCGCCCGCGCGGTGACACCTCTCCCTCTTGCCGCCGCTTGGGCCCGCCCGCCGGGGAGGGGCTCCCGGGCTCGCCGACAGCGTCTTCCTGCTTGGCGTACAGCCCCGCCGCCGAGTCCGCCCGTGCGCGCCGGCCGCCAGCTGCCCGCCTGCCCGCTCTCTCTCTCGCCCGCCGCCCTCCGCCGCAGTCCGCGCCCAGCCTCGCCCGCAGCGCCCGCAGCCCGCGCCCGGCCCCGGCCATGCTGTCCTTCCAGTACCCCGACGTGTACCGGGACGAGACCTCCGTGAGTACCCCGCTCGCCCCGCACCGCGCCTCCGGGCCCGCGCCGCCCGCAGCTCGGCTCCCGCAGCCCCGCGTCCCAGCACCCCGCACCGGCTTCCCGGCCTTTGTTTGCCGAGCCGGCTGGGGTCGCGGGGCTCCTCCCAGCGCGGGACCCTGCGGGTGGCCTCGGCCCACGTGCCCGAGCGAGCCTGTGGTCAGCGTCGCCCGGCCCCTAGGACAGACCGGCAGGCATGGGCGCCTGGTGCTCCTGGGGACACAGAATGTACCCCTGTGTCTCTAGGAGGGTAAGCCTTCTGGCTTAAATATGGTGGTAGGAGAAAGTGGATGCTGGTGTGCTCGGTTGGGAAATGATGTAAGATTTTAAAACAAAAGCAAACTTTGAGAACTTGGAATTTGCAAGTCCTTAGAGTTGAAGCTCATTCATTCCGGTTTAAGGCTGCCCAGCCCGGAGTCGGGTGTTGGGCGTTGGTTGCTGGGGTGCAAGTGAGGAGACAGAGTGGTGGGGAAGGAGCAGGGGCTAGGCTACAGTGTGCTGAGACCATCCAAGTTTGCTTAAGAAAGGAAGTTAGGTCAGGGAAGGCCTTTGGCAGAGTAAGTTTTGCCCCAAGAATAACTGTTTACCTAAGCTGCAGGTGAACTTCAGACACAGTGAAATTCACAATTCTGGGCAAACACACACGTGTGTGTGTGTGTGCCTGTGTATAAAAATTTGGCATTGAAGAGGTGGATTAAGTCCAACAAATATTATGGCTGTGATTCCTGCACTCACAGGCCAATTTGTCAGGTTACTTAAAATAGACTCATAGTAGAAATACTTTTGTATAATACAGTTGTCTTTTTTTTTTCTGTTTACTTTGATCCGGTTTATGCCAGAAAGTGTACTCTGAAGCACACTGAGGTAAAGGCTTTGAATGTGGGCCCATCTTGTTTTCAAATGAACTTCAAGTATCTGCTGCAATGTTTTCCTCACCAGTGACCATCTGGTAACCACGTTTCTCGCCTGTTCAGCTGCTTGCTTATTGAATTTGTCTTAACCATTCCCGAAACCCTCTTCCTACAGGGGAAGGCTGCTTCTGTTGCCTATAGGAGTAAAGTGGTCCTAGTGGGATGAGGAAGGGGACCGGTTAGCTCCCAGAAAACCTGTAATGCTGTTCTGGGCAAATCTCTTAGCTGTTACATACAGGTCTCCTTTCTCCTACATGGACTGTTATTGCTGTCATGGGACTTCACTTGCTCATGGATGGAAGACTTACCATTCAGATAGCCTAGCTCCGCAGTGGGTCACACAGAAGATGGGGAATTGTCTTGACTCAGAATCTTGACTCTTGGTTTTCAGATGTGTGTATATATATGTGCGTGTGTACATATATACATATACACACATATAATATAATATCAATAATATGAATTATATGTATATATAACCACTACCATTTTGTGGTATTACTAAATACAGTGTTAGTGGTTTTTGGTTTTTTGTTTTGTTTTGTTTTTTTTGAACCTTGGGATGGGTTGAGGATAGTGTTGGTTCTTGCTTAATGCTTCTCTACTTTAATCTGTACTAATCTTGTAGTTTAATAATTCCTAAAGGGTCAAATAGGGATTTTGTGAAGTTTTCTAAAGGTTTTTACAGAACCGTAAAGAGGGTATTTAGAATTTGATACACTCTAGTTCCTTCTCACTAAAGATCTCATGGTGCCCCTAAGCCTGTGGCCTTGGTGAAGGAGTAGGAGCCAGGTGCAGCCTGTGGCTTTCGTGGAGTTGTTGTGTTGGCCTGATGACCTACATGGGAGGTGTTTTCCTGCTGCAGGAGGAGTCTAGTACCAACTCCCAGGTGGGACTTCATGCATTTGCTCCATTGTCGCTTTTGGAAGAGGGGTTGGTCCCTGAAACTTACGTTGGAAATTTCTGTAGTTCTGTCTCTCCCTTGAGCATTTTCAGCCCTGCTAATCAGTTTCCCGTAAATGAGTAGCTGGCGTGAAGCCCGTGTGTGGACCTGTGTCTTCACGAGCAGAGATGTGAAAGTGTGGCCCTTCTCATGTAATGCCGTTGACTCTTCTACATCACTGTTTCTCATTTAACAGGTCAGGAAATTTAGGCTTGCTACAGGACACACAAGCCCTCATGGAAGGGTGCTGGGTGAGAGGAGAACACAGAAAAGGGTGGGGTGAATTTCTATTAGAAGGAGGAAATAATTTCCTAATTGAGTCTGAGCGTTGACCGGCTAAGGGAGAAAGGACATTCTTGAACCCGAGATTAAAATAGAGCCATAGTTGTGTAAGTCTGAACAGCCATGAAGTTGCTTTTACTTGTAGGGCAACAGGAAGACCCTCATGCCCACACCACCCGTGGAAAGACAGGCTCAGAGGCAGCTGGATCGAGAAGCAGCCCAGTGTGGTGTGGAACAGCTTTAGCAGTGCAGGGTCTTCTCCAGGCTCTCACAGCCCCTTGGGGAGGTGGAGGACGGCTTCCAGAATTAAATCGTGATGAACTGGTGTATGTAACCTCTGTTCAAGGGGTGTGGCTGTGAGATCACTCTGTGGTGCATGGTCTTATTAAGGGGTGGGGACAATGAAGAGGGCATTGTGGACTGTGGCTTCTGGGGTTCGGCAGTGGGAGCCACCTGGAGAATAGTTTCTTGTCTTGGTTAATGTCTGTGTGATAACCAACATCGGATGGTGGTGTTGGATCTGGGAAGATACAGGTGCTGACATCATGTCGAGGGCGATTTGGGAAGCACTCTGGCCTGTGATGCTCTGGGTCCAGCCACGTACTTTCTGGGCTACGCCTGATCGATCAGGCTTAGTAGCTAAGTACACAACGAAATGTTAGGTCCACAGGCTTAGGCGGTAGCCACAGAAAGGCTGCACCCTACTTGTTAGCCCTCAGACCCTGGTTGCTTTAGCTCTCTCTGGCTTTAGTTTCCTCACCTCCCAGCCAGGTTTGATTGAACTAGTGTGGAAGAAATCTGCAGAGTATTATCAGAGTATTATGAACTCACAGTCTCCTGTCTGTACAGAGTAAACCATTTGACCTCAGTTCTTACTAACTTCTCTGAATTGTGTCTTGCAATCTGTAACCTGGAAATATCAACAACTTTTTTTGCTGTTTTTTTTGTTGTTGTTGTTGTTTGTTTTCTTTTTTGTTTGTTTGTTTGTTTTCTGAGGCAGGATTTTTCTGGAAGTCCCAGCTGTCCTTGAACTAGCTCTTATAGACCAGGCTGGCCTTCAACTCCTAGAGATCCACCTGCCTCTGCCTCCCGAGTGCTGGGATTAAAGGTGTGTGCCAGTACCGCCCAGCAACAACTTTTTAAAGTAAATCTGCCCCTTTTTACGTAGCAAAGTCGTGAATGGTCGATAAATGCTCAATAAATAAACACTTTCTCCTAGGTGTGGAACTGCTATCATTTCTTAACTTTTGTACTTTCTTAGGAAAAGTTAATTTGGGGGTATACCCACAGGCATTTTCAGACTGGTCTGTACTGAGGGCTGGCTGGCTGGTCACAGCCCTGCCCCTGAATGTGCAGGGCTGTAGGTGGGCTGCTCAGTCCTGTGCTGCCCAGAGCCCCTCAGAGGACTCTCAAACTCTGATTTCTGTGTTGACAACAGAGAAAGTTTTTACTGTCAACCTATCATATAGCCACTCAGGGTGCCACGTGGGAAAGATTGGTAGGTGAGAAGATCTTAAAATGCTCTCATTGAGTGGTGGTCAGCCAAAATTGAGAGCGATAAAGGTGAAAAGTCGGTTTTATGCAGACTCTTCCTTGGGGAGCGGGTTTAATCTGTTTCTAGGTCTCTTGCTCTGGTCTGTCAGTTGTATAACAACTCTTCCCAGACCTTCCTGCTCACCCAGCCTCTTCTGTGCATCCTCCAGTTCTTGCAGGCGGCTCCAGATAGGGAGAAATGCAGACAGCCAGGGCTCTGGGCAGGAGACCCTGAGTGTGGAGGAGCACTAGAAAGGTCATTCAGGTGCCCTTTCAGGAGAGTTTGCCTTCCTTGGAGAATAGCCCTGGCCTTCTGGCACTGTGGCATAAAGCAAGGAGACAAGTTACGGATTCATCGTGATAGAGGTTACCCAATGCCAGAAGTCTTACCCAGGGTTAGGGTCACCCACAGACCAAACTGGAGAAGCTGACAGTAGTAGGTTTTAGTTAATTGGATTCATCTTGACCCTGAGGTGGAGAGATGATGTAATGCATTTTACGTTGGATTGTGTCTTCAGGCATGCTCACATGGAGATGATGGGGAGCAAGCCTGTGTCTTCCAGTCCCCTTCTCTGGTCCTTGGGGTTGGCCAGGCCTTGGACTTTGTGCTATCAGAAGCATCTTAGGAGTTCCAGAGGCTCCCTCCCACAAGGCTCCAACAACATGCAGCAGTTTCATTTCTTCAGGTGTCCAAGTGATGGTGGCATTTGTGCTGTGCATTTGTGGTGGCATTTGTGCCGTGTGTGTGGTGGCATTTGTGCTGTGCGCGTGTGGTGGCATTTCTGCTGTGTTGTGTGGTGGCATTTGTACTGTGTGTGTGTGTGTGTGTGTGTGTGTAGTGGCATTTGTGCCGTGTTGTGTGGTGGCATTTGTGCTGTGTTGTGTGGTGGCATTTGTACTGTGTGTGTGTGTGTGTGGTGGCATTTGTGCTGTGCGCATGTGGTGGCATTTGTACTGTGTGTGTGTGTGTTTGGTGGCATTTGTGCCGTGTGTGTGGTGGCATTTGTGCCGTGTATAGGTGATAAAAATGATCACACAACAGTACAAAAGAGGCTGTGGTTTGAGCACACCCCATGGTGTGTAGGCCAGCTTCTGTAGCGGGAAGCAGAACCATGCTATGAATTAGAAACTTGCATTTAGTAGTTCAGACCCAAAAGCAAAACTGATCATATGCCCTGTTGGAGGGAGCTGATTTCATTAGCCAAGTTGAGTGTGACCAAGAGCCGAGGGATGTGTGTGGTGACTCCTTCCAGATGTGATCGTCTCGTGTGCACCCTGCATTGTGTCCTTCCGTGCTTCACCCCAGCCGCACAGTTTTGAGTTTCTTTAGCCCAGCAGCCGGCCTTTGTTCCCTGTTGTAAAGACGGAGCCCTTTCCTATTCGGACCTTTCATCTTTCTTTCCTCCCCTGCTAAAACATTCTTTTCATGAAGAGTGGCTTGACACCATTGAGAAGCTGCCAACTTTGGTTCATGTGGTAATTTGGGCAGACGTGTTGCCAATGAGCCCATTAGTATCATTGTCTGGCCCTTCCCCGTTTCTCCATCGCATGGAGAATATATATTTTTAACTGGTCTTGGGCACTGATTACTCAAGACCTCATTTTGTCTTTTGCAGGTACAGGATTATCATGGACATAAAATTTGTGATCCTTATGCTTGGCTTGAAGACCCAGACAGCGAGCAGACAAAGGTAATTTCGGCTCATGATCGCAGCCTTAGTGACCAGCCCTCACCTGATGTCTGTAGCTCCTAGAGCTTTCCCTTCCTGTGTCTTCCTCTGTTTCTGCCTTGGGACAGGGTGTGTACCTGTGGGTATCCCAACTTTTTGTGAGGGGAAAAAAGGAGAAAACACATGCAGTCCTCAGAGAGAATCAATGTTAAGGAAAATGTGGCTTGTCCTGACGCTGCTCAACAGTGTATTGCAGTGAAAATATGGGAAGGAATGGAAGGAAAAGGTTATACCAGAGAAAAACATGGCACGAAGGAAAAATGGCCTAGTACATCTTGGGGTGGGGCAAAGAAATAAAAATCCTGCACATTAGACAAGCGGTAGTTTTGATAATCAGTGCTGGCTTTAACACAGCAAAGAAGAAAAAAACTAAATTGTGAATAGGAGAATATCGTTAGTGTTGCTAAAGTCAGGGCAAGGGAAAACTCCAAGAACATAAGACTTCTTTTGTTGTTGTCTTGGAGAAACATTTGAAGGGCTCAGCCGAAGTCTTGTTTCCCTAGTGAAGTTCTGCTCTAACGCTGTGAGGTGGAGAGTGTTTCTTTGCATTGTGGAATTTGTCAGTTATATATGCTAAGTGATTAGGTTTCCTTGGGAGGTACGACTGTGTCTCAAATTCATCTTTATGATCACTTTTGTTTTTTTGAGGCAGGGTTTCTCTGTGAATCCCTTCCTGGCAGTCCTGTAACTCTGTCTGTAGACCAGGCTAGCCTCGAATTTAGGGATCCTCCTGTCTGCCTCCAGAGTGCTGGGATTAAAGGTGTGGGATAAAACCACCACACCTGGCTCTCAGATTCATCTTAAGTTCCTAACCTCTTTGAGGTGTAGCCACACACGTTGTCCCTGAGGACGTGTTTTATGGGGCTGGGGAAATGGCTCATCAGTAAAGTGTCTGCCACGCAAGCCTGCGGACCTGAGTTCAGATCACCCACATGCATAGAAAGCTGGGTGTACCCTGAGATCCCAGAGCTGGGGAGGTAGAGTTGCCAGGATCCAGGGGTTTTGCTGGTGAGCCAGTCTAACAGGGTCAGTAGACTTCTGGCCTCCATAGGCACTCAACAGCCATCTTTATATGTAAACACATACACACACACAAACACACAGAACACACACAGAGAGAACGCAAAGGAGAACACACAAACATGTACTGTTTCTAATATGCTCGTTGCCCTGGTTAGTCTCTACCAACTTGACATACACTAGTTACCTGGGAAAAGGGGACCTCAGCTAGGGAATTGCTTGCATCAGATTGGCCCATGGATAAGTCTGTGGGGGCATTTTTCTTGACTGTTGAGATGGGAGGGTTCAGCCTGCCATGGATGGTACCATCCTTAGATAGGTGGGCCTGGACTGTACAAAAAAGGTAGGGGAGCAAGTCAGTAATTAGTGTCCTGCATGGTCTCAGCTGCATTTCCTGCCCCTGCTTCCTGTGGTCATGGTCTGTACAGCCTGCAGGCCAGATAAATCCCCTTCTTCCTCCACTGCCAGCTGGGAAATACTCGCCATTTCACAAAGTTGGGTGTCTTTAGGATTCGAGCACATATGTCCCCCTTAAATTTTTTTTTTCAATTTTTAATTAAAAAGAAAAAGCCAGTCAGATGGTGCCCAGGTCATTTTTCAATCCAGTCTCCATATCCTGTATCTGTGTGTCATGGGCTCCCGGCACCACGCCATTCAGTGAACTGAATTCAGATTTGCAAATCTGCCTACATTCTCTGGAAAGCAGCAGCTGGTGGAATTGGGCTCTCCCTGCTTCAGCAAGGAGAGAACTGCTGTAGGCTCCCCTAGGGCATATGAGACATGGCAGAGGAGGGATCTCTCTGGCCAGAGTTCACGCCATTTCTTCCAGCCCACCAAGGGCCTTGCTCCACTTGGCTTTGCCAGCTTCCCCATCCCATGTGACTGGAGCCACCTTCTCTGTTCACCATGGTTCTTCCTGCTCTGCATTCCTGAACTCAGCGCTCCTTCACCTTGAGGTTTTCCAGTCCACAATCCACCATTCGTTTCCCAACTCCCCTCAAGAAAGACCAAATTCCCACAGTTGAGGAGTGACCCTGGACTTGAACATTTCTCCTAAGGGTTTCCGGCACATTGTCCAGAAAACTGCCCCCAGTGAAGTGACACTCCTTTGCCTGAGATGTCTGGTCTGACCTGGGTTTCTCCAGCCTCTGATGCTGGTTGTCCAAGTACTGTAGTGCTCTCAGACTGGCCAGGCGCACTTGGTGTGTTCCTCTGTTCCTAATGACTGGCCCTGTGGATTATAAGCCACTTATTAGTGGGTGCCAACCTTCCAGTTAATAGATGACATTTTGTTAATTAGTGATGCGGTCCGCCTTTGATGGATGCTAATAACGCATTATTATTTTCATGGTTCAGATTTATTGTATGCTTACTGTGTGTCAGACACTTCACTGAGAGCTTTGCTTACCCTAGCGTATTTGATTCCTGGACTCTGAAGTAGATCTTTGCTCCCACATTTTATAGTAAAGAAATTGAACTACTCAGTGCGAATTAAGTAACTAGCCAAGGTCACCTTCTGCTGTATTTCCAGCAGCAGAGTAGTTATCAAAGATTAAAATAAAAATAAAAGTGGAAGCCAGGTGGTGGTGGCGGTGCACACATCTTTAATCTCGGTACTCGGGAGACAGAGACAGGTGGATCCCTGTGAGTTTAAGGTCAGCCTGTTCCACAGAATGAGTTCTAGGACAGCCAGGGCTAGACAGAGAAGCCCTATCTCAAAAAACTAAAAATAAGTAAAATAAATAAATAATAAATAAACCGTCGGGTTGTGTGAGCCTTGGGGATGCTGGCTGAAGGGACGTGTCTGTGACTGTGCCTGTCACCCTCCACTCCATGGTTCTGCTCACACGGCATCTGTGGCTACTCCGCCTGCTGGCCACTTCACGCACAGCTTCCTTGTTCCTTCTAAAGAGGCCTCTGAGGCAGTCTAGTGTCTTACTTGAAGCGGAATGAGTTAAACTTTTATTTTCAGATTAAAAGGAAAACCGAGGAGAGTGTGTTTTCTTTCTTTGGGTGGGGTACTTATAGGAGATGGGACACAGGGTTGTCCTGTGTGTGTGTGTGTGTGTGTGTGTGTCTGTCTGTCTGTCTGTCTGTCTATCGTCGGCCACACTGAACCTACTATTTACTGATTTGGTTAGCTTGTTTGGCCCCAAGGACCCTGTGGTCTCTGCCTCCTTAGCCCTGGGATTTGGGATGACAGGACATGCCACCTCACCCAGCCTTTTATGTGGGAGCTGGAGCTCTAAGCTCAGGTCCTCACACTCATGTGTCAAGTACTTTACCAACTGAATTGTCCCCGCAGCCCCCCAAACCCGGTCCCCTGCCTGCTGAGCAGACGCTGGGCCCCCTAGCTGCATCCTCAGCCCCTCTGTGCGTCTTAGAAAAGCAGCGGGAGCATTTTCTACTCGCGGTCGGTCGTCAGCGGTTCCCCAGAGGAGTGTTAGCCACACTTGGTGGCAAGAGGAGAGTTTTTACACAGATTGCACAAAACAGCAGCAAAAGCCGACTTGTCACATTTTCAGTGAAACGAGTCAGAAGCGAGAAACGCTTGCAGCTTTTTTGTGCTGGGTCTTGAAATGGTCTGTGATTTAATTTAGTATTTAATGTAGGCTGTCTAACTCTGACTGGGCACTTGGTGGACATATAACTTGGAAAACTCTCCAACAGGGACAGGGTGACACCTTTCAAGTTGTCACTGCTGAATGCTAAAATGTTACCCATTTTATAGCAGTGCACAGTCTGAGGCAGAGCCTGGGAGGGAGACTTGGCTGGGATTCTAGGGGGCCCCATGTAACCTGCCAACCACGTGCCCTCCTGATCTGCGGGCGGGTGGCCCTGAAGAGGAGACAGGCGCCTACCCTGAGGTTGTAATGCTAACAGGTTTTGGGGCCCAGCACGAATCAGCTATGTCTCAAAGATGAGAGAGTCATGGGACCACAGGGAAAGACCACACTATGTAGTGGAGAACTGAAGTCACCACTGTTGCGGCTGAACAGGCTTTGCTTCTGAGGGTAAAGGCTTCCGTGTTGTCTGATGCTTGTTCCTGTTGTCTGATGCTCGTGTTACTGTTCAGCGAGTACTGAAAAAATAAAAGATACTTAAAAAAAAAAATAGGCTCTCCCATTGTCTTGAAAAGCGCAGTGTTCCTTTCCTTTAGCTTCGATTTCTAGGTGTGTCCTGGGAAGCAGTTATATATATTGATGTTTGGTTTGCCCTGCTTGCTGGCTCCTGTGACTGCTCTCTCCTTCCCCCTCCCCCTCCCAGGTCCCGAGTCCCTTGGCCTCTGGAGGAAGCTCTGCCATCCTTTGGCCTGCTTTTGTCTGTGAGTGTCCTTGCCCCAGGAGAGGATCTGCTCACTGTTAGAATGGAAGGGTTCTTTCGTGCACAGGAAAATCTCGTTGGTTTATATGAGAATCAGGTAACCAAGGGCGTTTTCAGCATGAAATGCTCGAGTCTCAGAGAGGTTTGCAGTCCTTCAGATCTTACCTGTGATGTGAAAAATAAATACATAAATAAGTCAGTCAGTGCTTCCTAGTCTCTCTGTGCCTGCCCACAAGCAGTTCTCCATGTTCCTGGGTGTGCTTCCTTTCCCCTCTGTCACCTGCCCCAGACCCCAGACAGGCATCGATGAAGACTTGCTGGCTTGGCAGCGCTGCAGTAGGGGAAGCAGTGTGCGGTGAGCGGCAGTGGTAGTTGGCTTTCGAGTGTGTCTTCCTCGGCCGGTGAAGGAGTGTGGGGCTTACTGGCCATAGTGGCAGCTGTGGCCCCAGAGCGTCCAGTCACAGGAATGAGAGTCAGCCACCGAAGCCTTACAGTGTATCTTGTTGCCAGTGCTGTGCCTTGGTAAGTTGGGTCTAGTAAATGCAGTCCTGACTTTGTTGGAAACTTCCCATAGGTTTATCAGGTAAGTGAAGAGCTTCTGTAAACCACTGTCTTAA